TGATTTACAAATACAAAATTAAAATTATCAGTATAATTTTAATTTTGTATTTGTAAATCAATGTATTTTTTGTATTGTTATATTTAATGGTAATTTATTATGTACTATTGTATTTCAATGTATTTTATCATGTTGTAAGCCGCCCCGAGGTTTCGGCAAGGGGCGGCATAGAAATGTTATAATAATAATAATAATAATAATAATAATAATAATAATAATAATAATATTTAAGCAACATTTTAAATGTTAATACCACTGAATTTTATCTGGCCAGGTCGGCTTATTTTATAATGTGTGTTTTAAATTATTATGATTATTTTATATGTATATTTTAACTTATTGGTTTTATTTATTGTTGTAAGCCGCCCCAAGGCTTCGGCGAATGGGGCGGCATAAAAACGTTTTAATAAATAAAAAAATAAAATAAATAACTTCTCTAATTTCTAGAGTAGATTTTATTACTACATACATACAAACATTGTGTTCACATCCATCTCTATAAGTGTATATCCACCGTTTATCATGTAGCCCTTACATAACACAGCAAAGCTGACTGCTCCAAGAACATGTTCTTATTTTTAGAAACCATTGGGTTAAATTTGGTGGTGGCTAGCACTAGGAGTTTGGGATAGGTGGATCAGCCAGTTTTCACCAGTTCCACTCCCTCTACTCACTACTCCTCACTACTCCTTAGGGTTTGGGGACTGTTTCTAAGGTTTGGTGACCCCACCCAAGCAAGGTGGGGTATGGTGCAGAGAACCTAACTTTTTTGACCAGAAGTAATTTTCAGTAGCAGAAAGCTGCCTTTGGATACTGTCTACAAATAAAGTAGACCAGAAACATCTTTGCTATTTGATCATGTCTGATTCTCCATTCTGTTAACTGGCATGGAATTCAAGGGAAAGTATATGAAATGGAGTGGAGTGGGACGGGGGAATCCAGCTGAACTTTTATCAAATCCCCTAGATATCACCACAGTCTTCATCTAGCAATTGTCCTTTGACCTTAATTCTAACCTTTGGGAAAGTTGGGACCATTCATTTACTCTTGCTGAGGAATAAAAAGACCCTATACCAGGTAGGGGAATTAAAATAAACACTCAGAGGCACTCCAGGACTACATTAGCAGTGCTACCCACCACTATCAAATTGAGTGGTTTGCACAAAACAACCCAGAGTCAAGTTGAATAAGGGTATTGAATCATGAGTTGACATGTCTACAGGCTACAAAGTGATTTAGCTATAATTTTTAAACCATGGGAGTTCTCAACCCAGCAACAAAACTCGTGTTTTCCTCCTGGGTGGTTCATAATCCACCACTCATATTCAGACAATAGTGCAGCGTTCACACATAACAGTCTATGATTCAGTAACAACCCATGCTTCAGGGACAACCATACTTTAGGCTGCTGTCATGTGCAGGTTGTTAATGTACAGAATATATTGCATACAACCGCAATACTCTGGGCTCCTGTTGCATGTAAAATAGGCCAATTTCCTTTGTCGTAAGGATGTTTAAAGATAGAGTATTATTTTTTCTTACCTTTGAAGTCTGGGTGAAATGTGCTTCTGTGCTCAGTGTGTTGTACAAGTATCCAGAACTTCTGAAAGCGAGACCCCTGGCTTCCTTCTTTACTGCATTTCATTGGCAAGTAAAGACAGTTTTTTATGTTGTTCTGGTTTTGTTTTAAAGCATTTGCTCAGGTTGGTAGATGGTGCTGTCTAGAGGCTATTTTTATACCACAGATTGACGGCTGGATCCTGTAGTTCTATTGTTGTTTATTCTGCAGTGGTTGCATTTGTTTTTATTTGATTTCTGTATTATATTATATTGTGTCTCATGTTATAAGCATTTTAGTATGATGGATCATGTTGGGGGCCCAAATGGAAGAAAATGCAACTAGCACATTTTATAAGCCATCAACCAAGCAATTTCTGTGGTAGAGCCAGAGCTGGGCTGTGCAGCAGCACAACATTCCTGCAATCCAGGTTGCAATCCATATTAAGAAAACAACCAAAACAAAACAAACCTCCTTGCATAGAACAAGCAAACAGCTGGATAAGAGTGTTAGGGAAACGGCTGGGCTAGGAGTTCTTAATGTGCTGGCTTTCTGTGTGCAGATTTTAATAGGAGAAGGGTGTTGACTGTGCTGTTTCCCTCTTCTGCCCCATTCTAGTCTGAAATGATAGCATCCAGTTAGAGCTGTCATGGTAATGCTTTAAATTTCAGGGGAAAGCATTCAGAAAAAGGTATTGGGGTCTGTCAAGGAAAATTCTGTGAAGTGTATATCCCCATTTCACAGTAAAGGACCCCCTCACTCACTAAGCCAGGCATGGGAAACATCAGGCTTGGGGATCCAATCTGACCCCCCTGGGGTCCCAAGTCAGTTCTCCAAGGTGGCATGGCCATTGCCCTCAAACACCACCCTCTTGGTGCTATCCCAGCTTTGATGTGGTCTTTTCCCCATTCCAGAAGGTTGAACTGCCTCTCCTAAGGCTTAGTTACTGGGGGTAGGAGCTTTAAGCTGCAGATTTTTGTATTTTGGTCCCACCCCCTTTGTCTTTGGCCTGCTCTCCACTGGAATGCTGCCCATGAGATCTGGCCCAAAATTGAAATTGGCCTTTGGGCTGAAAAATGTTATCTTCTCCAGTAAAAATGTTTTGTCAGACAAACTCCCTAGAGAGGAGCCATAACGCGTGGGAAACTGCAATAATTCTGTTTCAACCCATGTGACACACACAAACTGACGTATTTCTTTGATCCAAATGTGTATGCAGTATGATAATGCATCTTATTTTTCCTTTCCCTCTATTCAGGGTGACAGCACAGTATCCCTAATAAGGAGAAATGAGCACCAGGCAATGCTTTCCACATAGCCAAAGAGCCACGGAAGATATTTTTCTCTTTCCATGAGGGAGAAAGGTCTTTTCTCTGGCAATCCCTTGAAGTCGCTGTTCTCTTTCCATGGAAAAAGGACACAGTTTACCTCAAGACTTCTGGGAGCTGACACACTGCCTGAGGATGAGGAGCAAGTACGCCATCCTCCTGGTGTTTGTGGTGGCCCTTGTCATAATTGAGAAGGAGAACAACATCCTATCAAGGTGAGGGGAAAGAGAGCTGCACGGGGAGAGAGGCTTTCTCTGAATCCTGGTGTAGCCGTCAGGCTGCTACTCTGTCTTACCAAGCTTGCAAGCTCCGTCTTGCTACCATCACCTCGCTAGCCTTTTGGAACAAGGTAAATATCGGTATCTCTTAAGCTGCCTCTTCATCCAGGAATGCAGCCAGGTCTCTCTCTGACACACACACACACACACACACACACACACACACACAGAGAGAGAGCGAGAGCTCACAGCAACTATTTGAAATAGTCTGATACAAACTGCATTTATCAAAAAATATTCTTCTGGAAGACTCTCCTGGAAAGGCACACAAGGGAATTTCAGTAAGTACAGTATTTGTCCTAACAAGCTGCACTGTAACTGGAATTTATTCTTCTATTACCCAGCTTTTAAAAGTACAGAAGGCCTGCCTTTCTTTGCAGCTGGTATGCCTGCCCACCATCATTTGGACCACAGTTACAAGACTCTGTACTGCTATGCCACCTATGTCAGTTGTCAGGTGTGTATATGCAACCGGGCAAGCACAACAGGAGTTGACTGGTGTATACAGAAAAGCATTTTCACTCCCAGATGTTCCCTCTTGCCACCCACTAATCCACAACTGCAGATCAAGTTACCTTGCCAGAGATGTGCTAATAAACGTCGCAGCCAGGTGGCAGGTCCTGCTGCATCCTATCAGATTATGAGTATTGACTTGACCAACAAGACATAGCCTATGATTTGGGGGCACAGGTCTACCTTGCAGCTTGGTTTCCAAGCTGTGTTCTAAAGGAATGCTTCCTTTGAAATTTAGCAGAGTTTCAATTGAATGATCAGAATTGGTAGACAGATTTCCATGAGGAACAGAGTCCAGGCTGCCTGTTGTCCCTTGCAATGTGCAGATGAAGGAGAGTTTGCTGTGTTCTGTTCTTCACTTCACTCCGTAGTGAGGCCATACATGCTTAGCCACTGTGCAGTTCATAAGGTGAACAAGTTTCCTAAATGAGGAATCTCTCCCATGAGTCTAATGAGGCCAACAGAGAAATGATGATTCAGACCTTTCTCATTTTCAGCTGCGTTACAGAGAATTCCCGATCTTCATTCCAGGTGTGCTTCCACAGAGATAAGGACTGGGACCTCCCCATAGCTCGGGTTAGCTGTGGGCAGGTCCTTGTCATTGTTCCCATCATGACAACCTGGGTAAGGAGGATTAATCTCTTCTTGTGTTCTCTGTGGATCAGTGGAAGGGTGGTCATGGTCAATGAGTCTGTGGCATGTAACCCCCAGTGCCCCTCAAGCCAAAAACAGTTCCCATACCTGCCTGAAATACGCTGTCACTTCATAAGGATTCTGCGGAAGGTTCTTTGGAGTCCGTCAGTAGTTAAAGTATTGATGAAAATGCTCTATAAATCTGTCCTGAGGAGGAGTGGGTGGAGGAAGGAAAAGCACTATCTTCTGTTCCCAAAGGAATAGCCCCACACTCCTCAGAGCGGGCAGAGTCCCAAAACAGTGGGCATGTTCTCACACTCACTCCCATTAAATATCACTGCCATTATCAGCCTTGATGATTGCCATCCTCTTTCTTTACAGGGTGTCAGACAAACTGAAGCAGTCTCCACCACCCCCACTAGAAGCTAACAGCACAGACCCTGGCCTGGTGCTGCCGGAAAATGGTTCCCTCCAGTCCCTCAGTGAGCTGGATTTGGCCTTCTCCCAGCTCAAGAGCCGACTCCAGAATGTCACTTTGCAGCTTGGGGGTACTAAGGAACTGTTGCCCACACCAGCCAAGGGGACTCGGAAACATGTACTCTTAATGGCTACCACTCGCACCGGTTCCTCCTTTGTAGGGGAATTCTTTAATCAACAGGGCAATATTTTCTACCTCTTTGAGCCACTCTGGCACATTGAAAGGACAGTGTCATTTGAGCCTGGCGGTGCTAATGCAGTGGGATCAGCCCTTGTCTACAGAGATGTGTTGAAGCAGCTCTTCCTCTGTGACCTCTACACCTTGGAGAACTTCATCATCCCATTCCCAGAGGACCACCTGACTCAGTTTATGTTCCGGCGTGGTTCGAGCCGCTCCCTGTGCGAGGAGCCCGTTTGCACGCCTTTTGTCAAGAAGGTCTTTGAGAAATATCACTGCAAGAACCGCCGCTGTGGTCCCCTAAATATAACTCTGGCCACAGAGGCCTGCCTGCGCAAGGAACATATGGCACTTAAGGCTGTGCGCATCCGGCAGCTGGAGTTCTTGCGTCCTCTCGTTGAAGACCCTCGTCTGGATATGAAGATCATCCAGTTGGTACGGGATCCTCGGGCTGTGTTGGCTTCTCGTATGGTTGCTTTTTCAGGTAAGTATGAAACCTGGAAGAAATGGGCCAATGAAGGGGCAGCGACTCTCAATGAGGAGGAAGTGCAGAGGCTGCGGGGGAACTGTGAGAACATCCGGCTCTCGGCTGAGCTTGGTTTGAGGCAGCCAGCCTGGCTCCGGGGTCGCTACATGCTGGTCCGCTATGAGGACATTGCCAGGTCACCCCTCCAAAAGGCCAAGGAGATGTACAAATTTACCGGCATCACCATCACTCCACAAGTGGAAGAGTGGATCCGGAAGAACACACAGGCACCTCAGGCTAGCAATGGCATCTACTCCACCCAGAAAAACTCCTCAGAACAGTTTGAGAAGTGGCGGTTCAGCATCCCTTTCAAGCTTGCCCAGGTGGTACAGAATGTCTGCAGTCCTGCCATGAGCCTGTTCGGCTACAAGCTGGCCAGCAGTGCTGAGACCCTTACAAACAGATCTATCAGCCTGCTAGAGGAGAGGAGGACCTTCTGGGTTACGTAAAGCTGGCTTTTGCCAGGAGGTCTCCTGTATCACTGGTTTTTGTGGGATTGAAAAAGACAGAAGATGAGAATTGTCAGAAAGGATGGAGGGGGAAGCAGTCCTTGCCTCGTGTTCCTGCTTGGTTTGTGTGCTCTGTCTGCACAAGGTGCTTTCTGCTTTGCCTGGGAGCAGACATTACCTGCTGGCGTGCTCGAGGCTTCTTGATGGATTATAAAGGCGGCCAAAGTCTGATTGAAGAGGAGTCCAGAAGCTGGCACGGTGGGGAGCATGAATGCTGGGCACCATTTTCCCTACCTCATGTCTGCCTTCTTTTCACTGGGAACACTGTTCATTCATCACTAAACATCCAAAGAGAGAGATATTCTATTTTTGAAAATACATTTACACTTTGAAAGATGGTTTTTCATCCTGCTGAGATGTGAGAAAAGCAAGAGTATTGCACTGATCATGCCTAAGGCAGCCTTAAAGGACACGTTGAGTTGATAGTTGTGGATGGTAGGAAAGGTGTGGCGCGGGGGAGGAAGAGGGAGGAAGGAAATGTGTTTGACGGAACTGTCGGAAAGGAATCTGACTGCTTCATCATTTAGACCGAGAATGTCCCATACCTGTTCTACCTGAGACTCTCAGGTGCCTTGTTAAACTTGAGGAGATGTGACTGGATCACACAAATCCCCAGGGTGGGGGGAAGTGGGGGAAAAAGACATGCAGTGGAGCATAAGCTGGCCCTATCCACGATAATAAAGGGGACTTTGAGACACAGCACAAGAAGGTTTCATGCACTTGCTATGTTTTATCTTGCCTTGCACCGAGGCCCCTTGGATGAGAGATTTTTAAAAGCAGGCTAAGAAAACACGATTCAAAGAGGGAGAGAATGGAACAGTATTCTTCCTACATCCCTGGGGATCAACATTCCTCAGTGCCATCCATTGTTTTTGCTCTTCAGAAGTCTATTTTTTTACGTCCGCTGTCTGGTTTTCTGACTTGCCTCCGAATCAATTGTTACTGATTCTCATCCAGTGTCTCCAGATGGTTAAGTGACAATGGCTGCTTGTAGTCTGGTGCTAGGAGGCTGTGAGTTTAATTGTATCCCCCCCCCCCCCCCACAACCCCAATCATTGTTTTTGTGTCTTTTAAAGTGCTGGTTGGAAACTGCCAATAATTCTTCTCCGCAATTTCAGGAGGGAATTGTTTTGGATAGACCAAGCTGTTGAAGCACAGCAAGGAAGAAGTGAAAGGTTATTTGATACAATAAGCAGAGCTGGTCTAGTAATCCCGCAGTGGAAATGGTTTCTGCAATAGCAAGAAGCAACCATCATATCCAGGGAATTCCTCTTATTTCTTCTGGTTCAGGGTTCCATTTTGTGCTTCCAGCACCTGCAAGCCAGATGCCAACATCTTAATGGATCTTTAGACAGCTTAGGATGTGCAAATAATCTGAAGCATCCATAAACACAATGCCTGGAATGGGTGCCCTGGACAGAAATCTGGAATTGCATACCAGATGGTAATATGCTAGAGGGAAGTAGTAGCAAAAACAATTAAGGGTCTTGTAGTACCTTAGATGCAAACACAGTTTTTCATGGATTACAGCCCACTTTGTCAGATGCACACAATTCATTAGACAGATCAGTATGGATACAGAGATGGGAAAGTTTGTAAACAGGCCACTAAGGTCTGTCACATTTCTGTACAGAACTGCCACTGGCGATGCTGCCATTCTTCTTGCAGGGTTAATGCAGTGCCCCAAAATAAACTATTTGACTTGGTAATGACTGGCTGCACTGTTTAAGTAGAATCATTTTATTTTAAGAGACACACCAAAACGTCATCTGTTTTTGTTTCTGCTCAGAATACTGGAGATTGGCATGCATCATGGTTCTGTTTCCTGATATGCAGCGTATAATCAGGAATTAAAAACAGGCTTTGGACACCTGTGGCAGAAATGTATAATTATGTGTTACCACCCCCCACATCAGGTCGTCCTCCATCTCAAGCAAAAGCACCTGGTTCTAAAAAAGAAATTCGTATTAAGACATAGTTTAAAAAGCATTTCTCTGAATAAAAGATGTTTAAAAATGTTTCTGGGACACCTTTAACTTTTTCTAAACTGTCTGCCAAAGTTAAACAAGGGTGCATTCTAATGCATGGTTGCCCATTGTCCCCCCAAAAGCACTGCAGTTCTCACCATCTCCTGCTAGCATGGCTGGCTAGGGGATGCTGTGAGTTATAGGACTTTTTACATCTCATTATGAATAGGATGGTACCCTAACAGAGCAACCCTATTCATTTCTACTCAGAAGTAAACAATCCTATATCCACTTAATTGGCTATAACACAATTCCATTAAAGTCAGCAGAACTTAATTCTAAGTAGGCATCTGTAGGATTGTGATACAAGTTTGACTTTCCACAGAAGGCATCAGGGAGACGCTTTATGTTTACATGAGTTAATAGTCACCCAGTAGTTAACAACATGAATGATTCCACACATTCATATAACTAGCATCAGTTGCCTGTATGGTGACACTGCACAAATGATGTCCTCTCTTACTACTTCCAACATGGCAAAGGAAGGATATCTGGTTAAATGGTAAAGGGCAACCAAACCAACTGATTTGTACATTCAAATTATCAGCTAATTAGAGCATTTACCATTCAATTCGTATAATGCGTGACCTTGTTTTTGGTTATAATTCCAGAAAGCTTTTAAATAAGTGTGTGAGCCCATTCTTGACCAGGACAGCGTGATGGGCCAAGGAGACTGAAATAGGCCCTGTCTACCCAGTTGACAAGGATCTTGAACTGGATCCTCTTCTGGGATTCAGCCACTGCAACCTCCACCTCCTAATGGGGGAATTGCAGGTGTCCAGGCTGTGCTGCTGCCATAGATTGAGCTGGCAGTAATTCCCAGTGAGCTTTGATTCTGGAATAATTCATGGAAGGTTTGTGGTTGGGCTCCCCCAGCCTTCATAAGGGCAAGTTGAAACGATAGTGAGGGTGACCTCTGAATTGAAGGAAGGGGTAGAGTGCTGGGAGTGAGAAAGAGGGCTGCGTTGGGCACACATTCTCCAGGGCTGCTGGCTGCTCTCCAGGAGAAGGAGGAGAGGCACAGGAGGGGTCCTGGGAATGTGGGTTTGGTCAATAAAGAATGTTTTTTTTGTGGGGTGGGGAGGTTGGCAAATAAAAAATACAGCATTTTCTTGTTGTACAAACACTGGAATGAATCTCTGAGCACGCACAGAATGGTTTCTTGAACCGAACCTCATATTCACCTCCAAGAACTCTCTGTATGAGCATGCCTGGTCCCCATCCCTTTGGGAGGGGCCTTCTGAAAATGGGCATGCCTCCTCTGCAAGCTGATCCTCTGATTAGGCTACCTTTCTCCACTTATGCCATATCAGAAGGTCAAGAGTCGAGGCCTCCTTGTCTGTGGCTGAGAAACTCCCCTGCTCCAAGTCCTCTCCTGCCAACTGTACATCCTGGTGATTCCCAGAGACTGCCGGCCCTCCTGAGGAGTCTGGTCTTGAGATAAGGATCTTTGCTTCTCTCATCTCAATGTCTTGGGTTGGCCCACATTCCCAGGCCCCCTCCTGCATTTCTCTCCTGATTCTGATTCTTCTGGAAATTAGCCTGAAGAAAGTGCACTCAAAGCAGTCATCTTTTTCACTCCCGACACAGATTTGAAGGTTAGATACCATCAGAATTCCTTTTGGAGTTCACCTTAGTTCATGCGCCATTTGTCTTGCTTTCCTAAGTTTTGAGCCTGCTTGAGGGGTGCATGTATATTGAAAACTCTTCTCGGTTACTAGAGGAGGCCCCATTGCTCCTCACCAGCATGCTATGCATCCACGCAGTCTGCCTGGATCATATAGCCAGAGGTCAGTGACATTACCAGAAGCAGTGTGGGAGTAGCAATAGCATTTCTAGGCAGATACACACAGCATTGGACTGAACAGTCCTATGGTGGAACCATCTTTCCTCCAATGATCTGATAGGCTTCTGCCAGCAGCGCAGAAGATACAGAGGGGCGTGTGTGTGGGGGGGTCCTTTCTTTTTTTCCTCTTAAAGGAACTTGGAAAGACAAGTTTTCTTCCCTTTGGAATAATGAAATAAATACTTCATCCTTGTCCCACTGTTCTGGAGGCAAGTTGGGGAAACAGGCTTTGGATTCCTGTGTTTTTTCCTAGCATGTTCCCAGCATGCCTCCTTTTTGCCCTCTCCAACATCAAAAAAACACCGGTTGACTACCTTTCCATCAATTCACAAAGGAGGCTCATTAGGTTAGACTTAATTAGGCGCCCCTTAGAATGCCATCCCAGGGACCAGAAGATTGTAGTCGTTTTCTCCTATACACACTGATTCTTGGTAGAAATCAAGTTGCAGCCTATGTCTATTTGCAAAACATAGGTGTACAGGCTTTTACTTGACACTGTATGTTGTTTTCACTACATATCGAACATCTTCATAAAGCAAGAGATGGAAAGCCAGTGTGGCGTAGTGGCGAAGAGTGCAGGGCTGGGACTCCGGCAACTTGGATTCTAGTCCCACTCAGCCGTGGGGCCAATTGGGTGACTTGGCCAGTCACAGACTCTCAGCCCAACGCACCTCACAGGGTTGTTGTAGGATTAAGACTGAGAGCAGGAGGAGCCGAATTATATAAGGCATTGTGAGTTCTTTGGAAAAGGAAAAAGGTGGGAGCATAAGTCAAATAAGAATGCTCCATAGGAACAGCAGTATGAAAAAGAGTGCCAGATACAGATTAGCTCCGTTTGTTGTGTATCACAGCAAGGGAACTTCAGTCAACCATTGCCCATTCTAAAGGACAGGGCAATGGTACAAATACTCAATGAGGGATATTCTGTCCATGAAAAACCTTTGGCATAGGCATTGCTTTTCCATCAGGTTACAGTTGAACAGCAGACTAGTCCTCCAGCTCTTAAACAGGCAAGATGCTTTAGCAGCTTCTACAACTGACAATTTATTTCTCAAAAGTTTCAACCAGCACTGTGTTTACTATGTAAAAAAGTGTTGCTTTTACTGTTGATTAATTTTGTTTGTGCCTCTTTATTTTATGTTGTCCTTTATGTTGTATCAAATTTTAGCTTTATTTTTTTTTAAATTATGTACAGAAGCTGTGGCTTTGTAAGGAAAAAAAGCAGCAGCTTTCGACATGCTACACTGTTCTCTGTTTGGAGGTTTCTATCTTCCTTTTTTAGAAAATATAAAATGTGCAGTGGATTTATTTATTGTATGGAAAATGATGAAAATAATAGGAGGAATCAAAACTGCACAAATAAATGAAAACAGAGTCAGAAATGTTTCCCAAGGAATGGAGAAATTAAGAGTGGCTCTGGTTAAAATAAAAATGATGCTTTTCCCTTTACTTTTTTGTACAAATCTTTCAGAGCAGAGAATGGTTTGATTTAAGGGAAAGAACGCAGCAGGAAGCAATTACATTTCATTCTACCTCTGTAATCTTGGAGCTACAAATAGGAGAAACTATCTTGGAAACTGATAAGGAGAGCTATTTGTTCTAATAACAATATTTCCTGTAGCTTCAGCTCAACTTTATCCTTTCTGTTAAGAAAGAAAATGTTTATTTACATTTTCTGCTAAAAAGAAAAAAATGCAGAGGCAATTGCACTTAACTTTAGGAAGAAGATTTGAGGTATGGTATGTACTTACAAAAAATCTTAAATTTGTTAATGCCCAGTGACATTGCAGAGAGAAGGAAGGTATTGTGTACGATTTCACAACACTACAATTACAGAGGAGCTATATTTCACTGCCTGCTTCTGTACCCTTGAGCCCCATTGAAACTTCCTGCATCTATGCTGGTTTGTGTTCAGAAGCTATTTTCATACATTTTACAAAAGGGTCTGGAATCAAGTTTTCTTGCTTTGCAATAGGTCAGTGGTTGGCAAAGGTTTCCAGGCTGTACGGCAGAGAAAGACCTTCCTGAAACTGCCATAATACAGCACTGAAGGTTGCTCTTGTCTTTGTGTCCCCTTCTGGATCCTGTTCTGAAACTTATTTAATATATGTATAACCCAACACAACAACCCTGTGAGGTAGGTTGTGCCAAAAGCCTGTGA